CACTGGTGGAGGCAAGCTACAGTTGTAGCCAAGCTGCCCTGGGGCAGACTGACAGAAGCAGCTGCCATATCGTGCCATCGGCCCCTCTGGCCAACACCAGTAGGCGGTAGGGTAAAGTGTCTTGCCCAAGGACACAACGACCAGGACAGAGAGAGTGGGATTGAACCAGCAACCTTCCGTTACAGATGAGCTTCCCAATCCCCTGAGCCACAGTCGCCCCAGAGAAAAATACAGAGAAAAACCCAAATATCATGACCCCTTATGAGCAAGCACTTTGGACAGTGGGAAGGAAAAACTCCCTTTTAACAGGAAGAAACCTCCAGCAGAACCAGGCTCAGGGAGGGGCGGGCCATCTGCTTCGACCGGTTGGGGTGAGATAAGGAAGACGGGATAAAAGACATGCTGTGGAAGAGAACTAGAGATTAATAAGAAGTACATTTCAATGCAGAGGTCTATCTGGCAGGCAGGATGTGGACTCACATGCAGGACTCAAACTCAAAAGGTGAACTTAAAGTGGCAACCTTATTTGCTAAAAAAATAAAACAAAAAAAAACATCCTTCATAATATAACGTACAGAAAACAAACCAACAACCTAGAGCATAAAACTAAGGACAAAACACTGAGAAATTAGAAGTGTAAAAAGACCAGAAACACGACAAAGGGCAAAGGAAAACTCAGGGCTTAAATACATAAGGGAGTAATGATGGAATGGGAAACAGGAGGGGAACACAGCTGGGACTAAATAGACATAATGAGACAAGGGGAAGCAAAACTAGATACAGTGACACGGGACAAGGGACTGTCAAAGTAAAACAGGGAACATGAGACAATCACAAAGACACAAACTAGACTCTGAGACACAGAAACACAACTGACATGGGAAACAGAGGGAACGTGGAGACAAGTGACTAGAAATGGGACACAGGGAAGACAAAGTGACAGAAACCTAAATTCTAGGAACTAAAAATAAAACACAAGCAGAAGACGATAATGAGAAAATCAAAACCATGAATAACAATAATCAAGGAATATAAATTAATCCACAACCACAAAACACTGGGTTGCAGACCCAATTAACACATAAGTGAGAAAGGTGATTGAAGAAGAAAGTGCATCATGGGAATCCCCGCAGCCTACCTATTGCAGCATAACTAAGGGAGGATTCAGGGTCACCTGGTCCAGCCCTAACTATATGCTTTAGCAAAAAGGAAAGTTTTAAGCCTAATCTTAAAGTAGAGATAGTGTCTGTCTCCACATTCTCACCACACATCGCCAGAGATAGTAAACCCAGCTGGTGATCCACGAGCTGGTCAAGATGAGGAGACCTGAACGTGTGAAGGCTCCTTTGCCTCCACTCTTCTACTCTTTTAAAACTCTTCCATGCGCTAACAACAAGTAGGCTCCAGAGCGAGAGACGGCTCGCTCATAATGAGGTCGCTATAATGGTTAACACTACAAGGTCATTAATGATCAAGGATGGGGCCTGATTATTAGACCTGTATGTGAGGAGCAGGATTTTGGAATTCAACTTCTGGATTTAACAGGAGTCCAATTGAAGGGAGAGCCAAACAGGAGAAATCTGCTCTCTTCTTTTCTGATAGACTGTAATGAATAGTGGATTTGTAAAGTGCTTTGGGTGCCTAGAAAAGCGCTATATAAATGCAGTCTATTATTATGTATTATTGCAGGGTCTACCTTACAATATAAAACACCTTGAGGCAACTGTTGATTTGGCGCTGTATAAATAAAATTGAAAAAATTGAATTGAATGCCAAAGAGCTTGATTTTGGTCGCATCTAACCATGACCATCTGCATGAGCTTGTTGTCACATCGTCCCTCGTAGCTGTGTGATTTCCTGTGCTTCGTGTTCCTTTGTAACTCCTAGTTTTCCATTCCCTAGTCTTAGTTTCAAGTTTTCCAGTTTAGTATTCTATGGTTTTTCAGCAAAATAAAGCTGCCTCTTTTTAGTTCATCCTCATGTGTACGAAGTCCTGCATTTGGGTCCTAATCCTGCCTGCCACACAGTGGAATCATGGCACTGGGAAGGTTCACCACTATTCCTTGTTTTCTTTATTTGTGCATAATGGCTCTCACTGTGGAGTTCTCAAAGCCTTACAGATGGCTTTGTGACCCTTTCCAGACTGATAGAAGTCTAACTTTATTACTCAGCTGTTTCTTTAGATCGAGGATACTTTTTGAGATCTTTTAGCCTGCTTCACTGTGTCAGACATGTTCTATTTGAGTGATTTCTGCCAGATCTGCAAGTAATCAGGACTTAGCTTTCCAAAAAATGTGGACAATTACAGTTCAATCCTGATTTAACAAGAGGGGCAATTACTTTTTCACACAGGGCCAGGTAGGTTTTCTCCTTTTTAAGCCACAAATGAATGCTCTAACAGAGGAGTCATTACAACACATACGTGGCTTGAGGCAACTGTTGTTGTGATTTGGCACAATTTGAATAAGACTGAATTGAATTAAATTTAACCAATGTGTAAAGCAATACAATACCCCAGCATGGCCTCTACTCAACAAAAACACAAATACTGTAATTGTACAAACAGTACAAACAGTAAACTCAATCACTCTGGCGTCAAACAGAGTGACTGATTTGCTCATGTTGAACTGAACTTTTCAATCATCAATCATATCGGCATAAATCAGTTCATACATTTCTTATTCAGTGCATATTATTTTGTACCATTCTTTCCTGGTGCATTATTTTTTAATTCTTAATAATCAAAACTGTTTAAATCAGCTATCTGACAGTGACTGTCATCCTGCTGTAGCTCCTTGTCAAAGAAGCCTCCAGATGTGACGAAATCTCGCAAAATGAAGACAGAACACCTGCTCAAAGTAGATGACCATGACTTCACCATGAGGCCAGCATTTGGAGGTAGGTGTAGAAATTTCTGCTTTTGTTTGTCTTTCACATAGCATTAGATGTTGATTAAAAGTCAGGGTTGAATTACATAAGGGATTAGCATTGAGCTGCTTCTTGCAATGGTAATGGACAAGTGTCTATGGTGTTTGCAGAAAAATTGTGATCTGTAGTGAGAGTAGGGAGCAGGTAAAGAGAGTGTCAAGAGTATGGGGTATTTCTCCTGTTGTTGTGGACTATCTGGTCCCTGGGAGGTGTTCTGGGCATGTCTCACCACACCCTAAACCCTCCATGCATGGTAATAAGCTTTTTCAGGTTTGTGTATGATAGGCCATAAGTGTTGATTGCCCAGATCTTGTAATTCTCACAGGAACACATGGTAGGTTATTGGCCAGTAGTTGATGGGACCTTCTGGGGATCCTTTGGGATCAGAACTTCAGTTAGCCATTACTGGTTTATTTGTTCTACCAGAGGCTACTGGATCCTTTTCAGGGAGGTTGCTGTGGTCTGCTCTTAGATCCACTAGCCACTGAGCATTGATGTTATGGGTTGCGTCCTTCTCCCTCACGCTTTTCCTTTTTTTTTTTTTTTTTTTTTTTTTTTTTTTTTTTTTTTTTTCTTTAAATGACATCAGAAACAGCAGTATGCGACATTACGTGATGGCAGAGCTTCAGTTCATCCTTTGTCATTTTTTTTTTTTTTTTAAGAAATAGGACAGGGGGAATGAATGAGAGAAAGAGGGGGAGAGAAAGAAAGAAAACCAAAGGGGAGAAGAGACGGTGAGAAGGGGGGGAAACAGGAAAAAAACAACAACTCCTGGGTCACCTGTATGGAGAAAAAAAACAAAACAAAACAAACAAACAAAAAAAAACAAACAGAGGAGACAGCAAACAACAAAGAGCAACATAATAATAGAGAAAACAAAGCACCATCACAATAAACTAGCTAGTCATAGATATCAATAGTTACTGAATAATAAACGATATTGTGCAGCACGCAAGATAGACAGCGCACAGTGTGCTTTGAGGCAGCAGCCAAGAAAGCTTTAGTCCGCGTCTGTGAATACCCATGTGTACACCTGTGTGCATACCTGTGTGGATCAGCTGCTTGCATTCCAAAGGTTTCTCCATGTAATGATCTGCTAGGGAGTGTGGGGGGGCCACAGCCCCGTCCTCCAGGGTGTGAAGCGGGTATGGAGGAGATCAAAACTCCAGACATCCAGAGGCCCCCAGAACACAAGAGACCACGGAAGACCAACAGAGGGGCAGCCGCGCCACTGTTCCAGTAAGAGCTGAGGAGAGTCCCAGATGAGGGCTCGCCCAGCAGCCGCGGAGCAGAAGCCAGGGGGAGTTGCAGTGACGCGCCCGTGAGCTCCGCCGGCCCCCAGCTGTGCCTGAGTGACCGAGCCCCAGGCCGAGAGGCCGGGGGCACCCCACCTCCAAAGGGGGCCCGAGCGAGCCCCAGGCCCCAGGCCCCGACAAGCGGCCGCCAAGGAGTGAGCCGGTGTGTACCCGGACGCCCACCCCCAGACACAAAGAACCACCAGCACACCGACACCTGAGGGAGTCCGCCACCGGCAGGGGAAGTGGTGGTGGGTGGAGATAGGCCTCCAAACCTTGGAGGGCCTGAGGTGTCCCCAGAGAGGTGGCGTCTGATACCCAACCTGACATATAGACACAGACATACAGGCACACACAGACACAAACATCCATTCCCACCCTCATGCTCTCATGTGCACTCACTCCACACTCAACCAACGTGGAGATAGACATAAAGAGACGCTGTACACACGATCACACTCCCCAAGCGTACTCTACAAACCGGGTCTAGGTACCCTTGCCCCTGGAGGGGGGAATTGCACCCAGACCCAGGTGGTGTTACCCTTTTCCCTGCTGGTGGGGAGAGGCAGACCACCCCGACTCCGCAGCAGCAGGGAGGCCCCACACCCCAGACCGCAGCCGGACGGCCAACTCCTCCTACTAGCCCTCCCGCTCCAGCAGGCCGCAGAGAATGGGGGTGGGAGAAGACTCCAAACCTCCCTCCACCCGCTCATTGTAGTGTTGATGCATATGTGATCTAAGGTGCAATTAAAACCCAGGAGGGCATGGAGCTACCTGCCAAGGAGCAGCAGGTAAGCGCATAGTCCCTCCTGCTAGCCCTCAATGACTAAGTGTATTTAAAATTGAGAGGTGGGCAACGACGTCAGGGGTGAGGTATACACCCTGATGGTAATTTGGACTCCGTGATTGTGCCCACCCCCAAGATCCTATATGTATGTGTAATGAGAGTGTGAATAATGTGAATGTCTAAGTTGTGGGATAAAATTGAGGCAGAGGCAGCCAGAAGGGGACAGAGGGGGGGGTAGCCTCCTCTGCACCCTGGTGACATACCCCTACTCCAAGGCCCTGCATGTGTGGGTGGTTGTGAAGGAGCGGGAAGAGGGAGGCAGCTGGAGATGGGGAGGGAAGGAAGGGAGGGGCAGGTAACCCCTCCCTGGGGCCAGCTCCCCCGCTGACCCCAGTAGGCACTCCCACCCTTCGCGACCCGCCAGGGAAAGGGGGCCCAGGCCCATCAGACCGGGGCCCAGTGCAGTAGCGCCCCCCGGCTCCACAGAGCCCTGGACAGTCCACCCAACCCCACCACAGAGAAAACTGCACCCACCCCACCATCCACTCATCTTCCAGACTACATAAGACGGTAAACGCCCAGGCTGAGATCTTCCTCCACCTCTCCTGTATCTCCCCCTCCTGCAGAGAGTTCCTGAAGAGAAGGAAAGCTCCTGCAAGATGTGACACATCCCCCCCACCAGTTGAAGAGCCCCCCAGGCGGCTCGACGCACCGGCGGCACCCTGCTCCAGGGCCGGGCCCCCATGCACCCACCCGCCCACAACCCCGGCAACACACAAACCAGGACCCAAGCCCCCGAGGCCCGGCCCGGGCCCCAGCCCAGAGACGGAGCGCCCCCAGAACCTCACGCCCATCCCGGACCCACCCAGGGGCAGCCAGGTTGCCAGGTCAGTAACCCACGTCCGTCAGCACAGACCCTCCCCTAGCCCCGCTGCACGCAGCCGCGAGGAAACAGTCACCTGAGAGCCAACAGAGCCCCCAACCGGACGTGACCGCTACCCCGGGTTGAGCCCCCCCTCACGCTTTTCCAGTATTGCTCTGTCTCCAGCCTTGGTGGGGCTGTTCGCATATTGTTGCCCTGCCACTGAGAATACACCTTAGATAGTTCAATGGAGTACAGCTGGTTTATTCTCCTGCCTCCTTTCTCTCTGGTATACCTCTATAAGTGACTGGCCAAGGCTGAGAGTCTTTCCTTGGCAGTTTTCAACACCTAAGGCATGGACAGCTTGCTGTACTTCTTAAGCAACCCTTTCTTCATCACACCTTTCTGCAGTATCAATAGTTGGCTTACTCCACACTCTCCTCTAGTCCTTTTCTCCATAGAGGGTACTTGTGGCAGTTTGTCTTATAGCCAAGCATCTCTGTGATCACTGCTGCTTTGGTGTAGATCAGCTGATTGGTTTTGGTGATGGTCACAGTAGGTGTAGTCTGTAATGCTGCATTCATGTCCTGTAGTAGACCTTCAGAGGATACGTTATATAGTCTTGGTAATCTGCCACATAGTGTCCAGGTCCAGCTTTCTTATACTTTCCTATCTCTCAGGTGAGCAGCTCTCACACTTAACGCACCTTCAGTAGTTAACCATGGTATCAAATCTTGGCTGGGGTTGAAATCTCCCCACTGACCAGATGTCCTGGCTCCCCTTTGTTGTAGCATTTGTGTTGTACCTCATTGATCTGCAGTTGTAACAGCAGTTGCTTCTTCCAAATCTTGGAACACTAAGCTACTTGTTGAATTCACTGTCAGTCCTGATGCTGGGTATCAACGCTTCCATAGGTCTCACATCCTCTTCATGTAACTCCCTTCTTATTCCAGTACCCCACTACTCATCATTGTGTACAGGTTCCCCAACACCTGAGTCAGACCTTGTCACACAATTTTTTTCCTTCTGATGTTTAAACCTTTTTGAGTTACTAGTTAAAATCTTTTTTTTTAATCTACTTGTAATAGGTTAGATAAACACATAATATTTAATTGATATACTTGAGTATATACAGAAATTTACGCTTAGGTCTTGGTGGAATTGTGTCTCGTTTCCAGAGTCCAATTTTTGTGGTCTCCTTAAAACTCAGTGGAGATTTTATTAAGTTATTTGTACGTTAACATCCACCCACATCTCTGTACAGGAGACAGGTGGAAAGCAATTAAAGATGATTCTTCTTCTTTAATAGAGTCAAACCAACCAAATGCATCATTATGGATTTTATTTAATTTCACAGTACCAATCAGTAAACTATTGCTTAGAAACTCAAAGCTTTGACTCATGAAGGCTTGACTGCCAGTAAAGTACACTTTTCTTCTTGATACAATCCCACTGATTTTCCTATATCACCATCTGGATGGGGCCAAAGCCCATGACTGGCACCTATTTATTGACTTTTCTTCAGCATTTAATAATATCCAGCTACATCTCCTAGTTGATAAGCTTCTTAACCAGTTTAAACTTGATTTTAATCTTGTTGGTTGGATTTTAGACTTTTTAACTGACAGATCTCAGTGTGTGTGAGAGTAAACGGCTGTTTTTCCAATCAGCTGAATTCTTCCACTGGTTCACCACAGCGTTGTTTTCTCTCTCCCCTGCTATATATTTTGTACACTAATGACTGTCGTAGTACACAGGCTGAAAGGCATTTCATTAAATATGCAGATGACACAGTCCTTGTACGCGTCCGTCATGGTGAAGAGTATTCCCATGGACCTGCTGTGGATGAGTTTGCTTCTTGGTGTGATCAGTCCTTAAAGATCAAAACCTTACAAACTAAGGACATGGTAATTTACTTCAGGAAGCCCCCTTCCAACAGTAGTAAATGGTGCAGCCATTGAACTGGTGGATAGTCATAAGTATTTGGAGGTTGCTCTTGATAAGGCTCTGTCCTTTGAGTCACATT